GCCCAAGAGTACCCTCTTTTAATAGTACTTGAGGATCCAAGAGTATCCTTATAATACAACTTGAGGGTCCAAGGGTGCCTCCCTATAACAGGACTTAAGGACCCAAGGGTACCCCTATAATAGAACTTGAGGGCCCAAGGGTACAGCTCCATAATAGAACATGAGGATCCAAGAGTACCGCTCTATAATAGAACTTGAAGACCCTAGAATGTCCCTATAATAGAACTTCAGGACCCAAGGACACCTTCCAATAGTAGGACTTGAGGACCCTAGAGTACTCCCTGTAATAGGAATTGAGGCTTCTGTTTAAGGTTCCAAACAGATCCCCAAAGATCCCTAAAGACTCTCAAAGATTCTTCAAGATTCCTAAAGATTCTAGATGTCAAAATCTGCTTTTTCTCCCTTGGCTTTTCCGCTGTTACTCTTACCAACATTCAAATTTTACCATTGTGTTCGTGTCCTCTTTATACGTAGTCTTATTAAAGTCGCCAGCGCATTATATTCATTGTTGCCTTCTTGTGTCTTTAATAGCTGAAGATTAATGAACAGAATGGAAGAAAAGAAGAAGTAAAATATTCGCAGTTTCTTTGGGCAAAGTGAATAATAGTCAATATAATTTCTTTTGTATGTCGAACCTTCCTAAGAAATTACTTACTAGGATTAAATTACTAAAGTGACCAAGTTCTTCGTAGCTTGAATAATGGGTAGCTGTTGATAAGAATGTTTTCTGTATCTTACACCGTTGGTTTGGTTTTTTTTGAATGATTCGTATCTTACTTTTGCAGCGTGTCAAACCCTTATCTTACATTATTGTTTGTGTTTATCTCTTTTTTTTCATTTTTTTTAATAAATTCTTATCAATTAAGCATTCTATGAGAAGGACTGCACACAACAACAATAAAATATTCACTGAATGATAAGACGATGAGTGACGACAAAGAAGCAAAAAAAACTCATAGTTGTTCAATGACATTCATTTCACATGGAGTGCACAAAACGATATTGATTTTTGTATAATGTGACGTGATTGGGATCGTTCAAAATTAGACAACGACTATTCTCAAAAAAATCTAGCTTTTATACAGATCTTTTGTGAGGTAAGTCTCCAATATGCTTGTAATATGAGCGACTAGTCGTTTGTCGGCGCCCCTCCGGGACGCCACTCACGGCTCGTTGTTCCTTTTACATCAGTACACTTAAGGGGCCCCCTCCCTCAAAAATCGATCTCATCCTAGGAACATCCAAATGTCATGAAACTTTGAGAATATGTTGGGGCTGTAAAAGGACGTCTGTGGTAAAATTTTCAGCCTCCTATCCTGATGTAGAAGTGAGGTACGAACCAAACAATGGTCGAAGAATAGCTTATCGCGTCTCCAAAAATTCTCTGTGGATATTCATTCAATATGCTTGATTGTTATTTTTGTTTGAAAGAGCATGTCCGAATGCAGTGCCTATGAGGGCTCTTTTTTTTACTCTTATTCTTCTCGAGGAAAAAAGACCTACAAGTTCAATCACTGAAAAAGCTCTCAAAAAAATGTCGCTCATATTATAACGTTGCTTATCAATATAACAAGTTAACGCGACGCAAACGTCGCCGACCCTCTACTGAAAGGATATGATGCTGCAGAGATTGGGGTATTTGAGCAGAAAAATACAATAACTATTGTATTGGTATACATACTGGCTAAGGACTATTCAAAAAACTTCTATATTATTTTTGGATGGGACACATCAAATTATATTAGGAAAAACATTTCGACTTTTCTAAACCTTTCGTATGAAAGAAATCTGTGAAGACTGTCGTATACAAGAATGATAAAAAAAAGAGCCACAATGCTGACCTGTACAAAGCCTTCTCTGATCGGTGGCACATTATATTCTTGAATCAAGCTCTTTTCTTCTCACTTCACATTGAACTTAGACAAATGATAGAGACTTACTTTAAAATTTTTTGTAATCCCTAATAAAAGTATTAATAAAGCGAAAACGTCAGCTTATCATCTTCTTTAGCAACTGTAATTTTTTATCACTAGTTGCTCTTGAAAACTCATTTTCTACAAATCCAAATCCAAAAACGCACGATAAGCTCGTCAACATCTTCAAAATCTCATTTTCTCACACCGTAGCTTCAAAACACAAGATTGGCTCGAGTACCACTCCGTGAAATTTCCTTCGCCAACAATCCGCTCCGAAAAATGCCAGATCCCGCCAATTTCCTTGCCTCGCAATATACTTCATTGATGGCCCATATGAAAACAAACCCCTGATGGACTCAATTTCAGTTCCGCGAAATCCCATTGGCTAAGACCCCACCTTGGAAATCCTCGGATTGGGCCAATTTCGGTGCCACAAAATCACATCGATTGTTGGCCCATATCCAAAAAACTCTCATTGGCTGAACTTCGGTTGCGCGGAATCTCATTCGCTGATGGGTCATACCCACAAACACCCGATTTGCTCAGCTTCCCTTGCGCAAAATCTTATTGGGTAATCGCCTATATCGAAAAACTCCTCATTGGCTGTCTTTCGACTTCGCGAAACCCCATTGAGTAACCACCTATATCGGAAAACCCTTGATTAGCTGGAGTTCCGTAGCACGACATCTCCTTGCTTAATCGCCCATACAGCAAAACCTCTGATGCCTCGATTTCGGCTAAACCCCTCCCCATATTAGAAGCCCCCCCCCCCCGTATTAGAAGCCCTCTCTGGAGGATTCGATATACCAGACATATTAGAAGCCCCCTTATTTTAAAAACTTTTTGAGAGTTTTTTGAAAACATTTTTTAGTATTTTCACGGCAAAACTTAAAAAATTACAAAATTTTAAGGTAAAAATGCGTTAAATTCTTAGTTAACCGTATTAAAATCTCAAAACTCCTTCAAAACCGTCAAAAATCTGTAAAAAATCCTGAAAATCCTATTAAGGCTTTTGAAAAACTTTAGTACCTAAAACCTTCGAAAAATCATAGGACATAATAGAAGCCCCCTCCAAAAAATTTGTATGCTGGATACTTTAGAAGCCCAGGGGGGCTTCTAATATGGGGAGGGGTTTACGCGAAATCTCATTGGCTAAGAGCCCATATGAAAAAAATTCTGATTGACTTGATTTCGCCTCCGTGGAAACCCATTGGCTTAGAGCCCATATCGGAAAACCTCTGATAGGTTCGACTTCGGCTTTGCCGAATCCCATTGGTTAAGGGTCCATATAGGAAAAACTCTGATTGGCTCGATTTCGTCTCCGCGAAATCTCATTGATCAAGAGCCTGTAGAGGAAAAACCTCTGATTGGTTGGATTTCGGCTTCGCCAAATCTTATTAGCTAAGAGTCCATATCGGAAAACCTTTGATTAGCTCGATTTCGTCTCCCTAAAATTCCATTGACTAAGAGCCCATATGGAAAACCTCTAGTGGGTTCGATTTTGCCTGTGGGATATCCCATTGACTAAGAGCCCATATGGAAAGACTCTGATTAGCTCGATTTCTGCTTTGCCGAATCCCATTGGCTAAGAGCCCATATCGAAAACCTCTAGTTGGCTCGATTTTGCCTCCGCGAAATCCTATTGGCTAAGAGCCCATATCAGAAAAACGTCTAATTGGTTGGATTTGCTCTGCGCCCAATCCGATTGGTTGATAGCCCATCTTGGAAAACCCCTGTTGACACTGTGAGTCAATTGGTGTCTACATTTTCACAAATAATTCTGCTGAAGGTTAAAAAAACATTTTTCCGTTCTGTGCGAACGGACGAACGAAGTTACGAACATACGAACCCAACTCGGTGTGTGACCCTCCTTTCAGTAGAGGGAACAAAAGATGTCGATCAAAACTTGTATGAGGTATGTTTTGTATTTGACAACTATCTTTTTGTATTCTAGCATGAATATTATGATTGAGACGGGTTCTAGTTAACCGGCATGGATTACAAGCTCCCACGAAGATCATATTGGTTGGTTATGGATTCGCCAAGAAATGTTTGTTCGTAGATGTTTTCTTTGAGAAGTCTAATATTGATTGTTGCATTAAAGTTATCGAAAGAGTCTAGCAATATTTGTTTTCAAGAGTATATGTTTGAACTCGATCAATACAATATCTCATTATTTCAAGGATATTCTCGACTGTTACACCTGGATGAATACGAAAAAACTACTAGTTCAGCATCAAATATACTAAGATACAAGAATTGAATTAATGTTATCTTGCTACAAGCTATTTTGTCCATGATCAAAGTAGGAATACCACTATGTACTTACATGCAGATAAGAAACTTTTTAATGGTTAAAGCAGTGAGCGGATCTTGATCTAGTTAATCGTCGAAATCTTTCGGCCATGTACTTGAGTGGTCAATAGATGTATACATATAATTCAAAAGTAAAGATATATGGAAGGATCACTTTAATCCTTGAGATCACGGAAATCGTTAAATGTTGGTTATTTTCATTCTCATTTTTCTATTTACTGAAATTTTTACAAGCAAATCAGTGAAAGCTGCAAAACAATATAAGTATTTGAATGAATGCATGGTTTGACAGTTGAAGTTCATTTTCTTATTTTTCTGTTTTTGAAATAAGAAAATAAAAATTGTTTTTTTGAGTACAAAAATTGCTTCTATCACATTTCCTCTTCTTCTACGTCAGTGCAAGCTTTCTGGTTCTTTTTTCAAAAAATAAAAATTGCAACTTCAAATTTTGCTTGGTGAGAATTCTTCCAACATTACACCTGTATTCTGGATATAAACTAGCTATTAAAACTGTATGCAATGTCTGTATCAGTTCAATAACAACATTTTCTACATTACGAAGACTCCTATTCCGGGGATGAAAATCCAATTTTTTTTTCGATTTTTTTTTATTGTTAATATAGTCTTGAACTATCTATTGTCAAATTCCATATAGATGAGTAAGTTTTCATTGTTACTTATTACTTTCAATTTTTGACCATGATAATTAAAATTTTGGACATTAAAATAAGTGAAGAACAATAAGTTGTGCATGGTGAATTGGTATTACTAAGGTAAGTCAATAATTTCACCATGTTTAACTACGATAAATGATGACGGATCGAGTCCATTGTTTTCAATTGCATGAGCAAGTTTCTTAGGTGGTTCCATAAAATATTCATTTGCCAATGCCCATGTACCCCAATGAATACCGATCGATTTTTTTGATTGAACATCAATATGTATTTGAACAGCTTCATCTGGTGATACATGTTGAGCTTGCATCATCCATCGTGGTTCATAAGCACCAATCGGTATAGCACTTAAATCGAATGGACCATATTTATTGCCAATTTGTCGAAAAATTGAAATGTTATGAGTATAACCTGTATCACCGGCAAAGTAGAATTTATGTGTAGCATCCCAAACCGCATAACTACCCCATAAAGCTTTATTCATATCAAATGCAGTACGATGACTCCTAGAAATAGAAAATATTTCATTAATAAGAAAAAGAAAAACAAACCAATGAATATTACCAGTGTTGAGCTGGACAAAAAGCAATGTTCACTTTTTTTTTCTAAAACAAAAAAAAATGAAAGATAAATATTGGAAAAAAGTTTTCAGAATGAATCTTCTCATACCGAAAAATGATACTCTTCCCACCAATCAAGTTCGACAACATTTTTTACACGATTAAAGAGAAACCATTGTCGAGTACCTCGACCACAGAACCAAGTTAATCGTTCACCATAACGTTCATTTAAACGTTTTACACTAAGATAATCAAGATGATCAAAATGATTATGTGAAATAAGTATAGCATCGAGATCATCGGGTAGATCATTTATTGTTAATGCCGGTGGACGGAAACGTTTCGGTCCAACAAGTGATGTCATACCACATCGTTCACTATAATCATTCATTTTTTTGTTCAAAACAAACAGAGAAAGAGAGAGAGAGAAAAATCTACCTGAAAACTGGATCGACAAGAAATCGAAAATTGTTCATTTGAATAAAACATGAAGCATGTCCAATCCAGATAAATCGTAGACCAGGTGTTGTTCGATATAGTTCTTTAGGTTTCTTATGTTGAGTAACGGGTAAAATTTTATCAAGTTCTGTTTTAGTAAACGGTAATCGTGTATTGTCCGGTGCACTGGTCTTCCAACTTAAAGCATGTCCTAGATTAGGCAATTTAAATTTAGGATTGAATGAATTAATGAAACGACCATTTTCTTTTCGAGACTTGATTAATTCATTGGAAGATTTATCCGTTGATGTTGTTATTGTTGTTGCTACAATCATAACAATTGGTTGTGAAAATCTGAGTTGTCCTGGGTAGAGTGATCGAAGTGTAACAATGATTCTTCAACCGTCCCGAAACTTTGAAATGATCTCTGGAAAATCTTTAGCATTTTACATATGATGAAGAAAATGAATCTCCAAGAAAATCAAATCACTTATGAACAACTTGATTTCTAAGAGAATCGATTTATGTGGATCTTGCGGTTTACGCCATTTTTTACAGTCTAATTATGGATCATTTCCCATCAAACTTGTTATAGAATGCACCATATATTGCACTGCGTTAGTGTGAGACACAGAAATGATAGATGTCTTCATAGATACTTAAGCAGAACTATACACTTCGGATCATATGTGAAGCTCTTTCAAAGATAATTAACTTATTAATCACTAATTATCTAAAGAAAACCGTATAAATGGCTTCGATCGCAAGACCTCAAACGTTGCTACATTCACAAACAGTGTTGACGTTTGATTTTTTTAGAAATTCAAATTCCGCATGATATCTAATATGATTTCTTTGAAACTGCTTATTATAAATCGTATTACATGGGTTAGTTTCGTATTTTTCATACTCTGTTTTTTTTTGAAAAGATCACTTTCTTTAAATCTCAATGATCAACAAGAAACTCTGTAGAAATCCTTCAGATTTGACACAACTTAGAGATTTTCACTATGAATGTGGTAGAGACTTCATAGAATAGTCCAACTTGTGATACTATGACTATTTTTCTTAAAGAATTTAAATAGGATCTCTCGGCCAGGTTTTGGCTGATTTTCCTTCTTTTCGACTGAGGACTTAACGATCGGATTCATATTTTATTGAACATACTATGATTCAACGAAAATTGAAATGTTAAGAAATGTTTTATTTGTCATCATGTAAACAGATCAACGTCGATAGCTATGCAATTGGGTCGAACTTTGGATTTGTTTGGCTTCTGTATAGACAAAATTTGAATGTCTCAGCTTTGATTACTTTTATTCATGTTTTATTAAAAATCCAGATCCGATTCAGATTCTCAAATTTAGAACCGGAAATGATCGAACTCTTAAAATTTGACCCCGAGTTTGGTGTGTGCCAACGTTTCGTTTTTTTTCTTACTCTATGACTGTCACACCTTGTCTCATCGCTGCTGTTGTGAAGGCTCGCTTTTATAATTTATCGATGATAGCTCAGAGCTGTATCTTCCTTTCACTATGATTGATTAAAACTATCTCGCGAGCGATCTGAACTATACATACATATAGGAAAATAAATTAGTCTTTCAATTTTTCTGATTCCAGAGACTAGTCACTAATGTATTGAGCAATAAAAAAGTCTATCTTGATCTTTCTCAATCTATGGATCTTCGTTCTATTTTCGAGCTGAAACTTGACGGACGTGTGGAGTCTTAAAAAAAAAGATTCTTTCGTGAGCTAGGCTTTATTTTGACAACTTGTTTTTTCTCGGTCATGGTTTTTTTCTGACCTTTTTCGGATTCTGTTGTTCGTATGGCACTAGTAGTTGTATGCATCGCCGTCAATCCAGGTTTTCCGTACAGTGCTTGAATGCGAGCGCGGTCCTGTAAGTCATTGAAAATGTAAGTATTCCATCAATTGAAATAAAACATTGTTACTCACTGTCTTTGATAAGATCTCTTCTGATTTTATGGACCGATAGTACGGAAACATCACTGATGATTTATCATTGGAATGGTCTAGTCCAAGAACATGACCTATTTGGTGTGTCGCTATAAGACGAAGATGATAGCCAACGCCATTGTATCTGAAAAAAGAAAATTTACATGTATTTTGTTTAATGATTGACACTCAACTTATCCGTCCATTCTTCTGTCGATTCAAAAACAATACTTTCAGAGAATGGTTCGACTGTATACGCCAAAACTCCATTTGGTCCATCAAAGCGATAACCCTCCTTGTGATATCTATCAACGAAGGTTAGGTTGATATCGGCTTCGTCATGTTCGGATGCTTCATGAAACGTAAGCGTCGAATGCTTTGCCCAGTCGTTGAATGACTGTTGAATTTGTTGACGAATTTTGGCTACGCCAAGCACTGGAAGGTCTTTTTCAGTCAACTTCCATCTATAACTCTTCTTCGACTTGAACCTGAAGTAAACTTCCGATTTTCTTATGATAATAAGCATTATGAAAGTAATCCTTTTGTTGATAGAGAGAATGTAGAATAGAAATTATCTTTATTTAAAATCAATGATAGGTAGATGGATCAAGAAATCGTCGAAGTGATACGCAATGTAGAGACATTGAGGAGTGCAGCATCACTTCCTATATCGCTCTATATTTAGTTGTCACGGAGAGAAGAATGAAAATTGACGAATTGAAGAAATCTACAATATTTCTTACTATTTCATTACACTTATGCATGGAAAAATGTTAACTTTTTCTTTTGGAGAAAAATACTGCAAATCATAATAACTTTGCTCTTCAAAATTCTTTTGGATATGTGGAGAATCCTCTTTCTCTCGAATGAGACATATCGTTCGTCAAAAAAGGACTTACTGCTGTTCTCGATCTCGATGCGGCGTAAAAACCTTGTCTTCTATTCCACATCGGGCGGTGTTCATCAGTTTCAATGTTTTGGGATCAAGTTTCTTAGTAACCGGCAAGCTATAGAAGGTTTGAAATGGTTTTAACATTGAGTTCAGGGTCGGTGGACACGAAATGTTCTTTCTATCGCTTATGCTCTCAAGCACACGACTACAAGCATTGTAGCCGAATTTGTCGAGATAGGCTATGGCGTCTGAGGTCGATTTGACAGCAGATACATCGGGATGCTTTGTTTTATACTTCGTCTTCGGCGTAGACACTGATTTCGCTGATGTATTCGGTGAACTAGTTAGAATCAAGAGAAGTTCGACGAGACCAATCAGTGAAATTACTTGCATTGTGAGTGAGTTTGAGAATGAGACGAGTGAAAAGTGCACGGTATTTTTTCAATCTACGTAATAGTAAGACCATAACTATCTTTTCTCATTCAAGCACAGCACTGATTGACGTGCGATATACCAAAAAAAAAGAACAATCGACTGATGAGAAGGAGAGAAGGAAAGAGATGAATGGCATTTGATTTGATAAGAATAATGACCGTCTTCAATACATGAGTAAATAGAGAGTCGTATTACCATTCTTTTCCTCTTCTACTCTCGTTCGAATACAATCGAAGAATAGGAACAATACTATGATCTCTATATTCATGTATAGTACTCATATATAAAAAATAATCAAACAATCATCATTACTTTTGATTTAGAGAAAGATCGCGACAATACCGATCAATATGTTGTAAGTTGAAATTGAGGTTTTTGATTTCTCTATTTTTAAACGAAAGTCCATCTAAAAGAAGGTCTCATATCAAGATGAAGAATATTTTCAACTAAGTCTTTGTCAAATATATCAAATGTTCTGAGTTTCATCCTATTCTCATTGTCAACATAAAAGATTGTATTGATTGATCTTCAAACAATTTAAACGAATAGACTTATGTCGAAATCTCAGAAATGACTATCGAAAAATGTTCCTATCACATGTTTCATTTCAAGATGAATCCTGGAAATGATCGATTCTTCATACTTTTTACAAGTCCATCGATGATTGTCTTTTATCATATCAACATGAATAGAATGAACCAATCTAGAAAACATTCTTTTCACATTCTTGATTAAAGAGTGAACCACTCGACAACAAAACATATAGTAAGAATGACAAAGTATGGACAATTTAATATAAATCGAAAAGTTGCCATTCAATATCTTGTGATTTGCTCAGAGAATGTAAATAATCTAAAATAACCAACGAAGGTAGATTTTTACCACTTTGTTTTTATAACTTTCCAATATGAAAGAATGTTCCAATCAATAACGATATCAATTTTTTCGTCTTGATTTTAATTGCAACATAAATATCATGATCATAATCATAATGATTCATAATTGGCTATATAATTACGCATTAAAAAACATTATCACCAGCAATTATGCCACAATATAACGATCTATAGAAATTCAATTATGTCAAATACAACGTAGTTATGTGCAAAATTGTTCACAATCTGAAAAGAAGTGTACCTTATGACAAATGATCTCACAGATTCGTTTTTACTTATCGTTTGCTGAAAAGAATATGTCTATATAAGGTTATTTTTTGAGTCCTTTGTAGATCCAAGATTTCTAATGATCGTCCTCATGTGATGAGGGTTTTTATGATCAAGAAGTTGGTATACAGTTTAAACTCAAAATCTTTTCCTTTTATATGCAAAATACATGATTTGACGTACAGACAAAATGATTTCCATATATTAATGGACAGCAGTAAAAAATAAAACAAATTCGCGTTTACCTCTGATCGATTCCCCATTGTTACTGTTTTATTTTGTCTAAGGAATTTTCAACTTCAGACGTTTTTTTTACACCAATTTATTCATTCATTCTTTTCGTCTCAAATGCACACTACTATCAAAGAACAATATTTGAGAGTTAAATGATTTTTTTAATCTCATGGTTTTGGGGTTGTGAAATCCCTGAATTACACACTTGACTGATTCGTCAGAATAACTGTGCAAAAGGAAATCACTTAGATGCTGAGCATCATACATCTTTGATCCGTGTGGTTACCTTTCTCACTTCTTGCAAGATTACTCTATTAGTAACGAGTGACAATCGAAATTGCTTGATACAGTGCATGTTTCAATTTATTCTGTTTTTCTCAAAAGAAGATGTCTGATCCTCTCACGAACATTATAGATGAATGCTCCCATGTTTCTAATGTTTCCAAAGTGATAGCAAAATTTTAGAAGTTATCTAGTGCTATCGTTCTACCTACTTTTTTTCTCCTTGAAGTCACAGTGTTATTTCTAGAATACTTTTTTGTGCCGTTACGAGAAACGTCTTTCACACAAGTCACCCGAGGAAAGAACCTGAGTCTTCTTTTTCTGCTTCTTTCATATGTTTGTTCCTTGCAAATATTCAGCATTACTACTGTCAATAGACTTCATTTTGCCTTTCGAAATATTGTCAATTTTTTGCTCGTCAGATAGTTTCATTTTTAAGAACAACCAACGACTTGGACACGAATTAAATACATTATCAATGTCTATCATCATTACAGCTAAGACACAGACGCACAAGATATAGATGTGGGTGTGGATATGTGTGTGCATGTAGGATGTAGGTAAAGAGAAGACAAACACCCAGACCCACCCACGTCTACAGCCACACCCTGATGTTTCCTTCTCGTTTATTTGATGATTACATTTTTTTAAAGCTTTCTGTGATGTAAGTTTTGAGATTTTCGTGATAGAAACAAAGACGTATGCTGTATTCTTCATTGATAGAGTAGAGATGACGAACGACAAATAGCACAGATAGATCCGGAACTGATCTGGATCGGATTGATCGGTATACTGTTATGTGTCATTCTTTAGTTTTCATAGTCCGAATCGGTCGAAGCCGAGCCAAGCGATTGGCATTGAATTCCTTTATTTTGTCGAAATTTGATATAGTTCATTTACGTTGAGTTTTTCTACTGAAGTCGAATTCCATGATAGTGTCGACTTCTGAAGTATGGATATTTCTCACAATGTTTTTAATCTCTTTTCTAATGACAATACAATGTAGAAAAACAAACGATGAAGACTGACAAAGATTTGATTAATTGCGATAAAGTCAATGAATGATATTGAATTGATGAAAAGAGAATTTATTTCTTATTTCGATACTTTGCTACGAGCGAGATATTGAGATGAATTTTTCGATGTAAACAAATAGGGATGTTCTTGTGTGAGACACTTGACTTGTTCACCTTTTTGCCATGATCATTGTTCAGCGCCAACTGGTTCGATAACATTGTTCCAAAGTGGAAGTACTGCGACGGAGTGACCTTAACCTATTCTGGGCAAGACACAAAATTGATTATTTGTAAGAAAAGAAACTTACTGCTAAAGTGAAAATGATCGGGCGCAAAATAGCTAAACTCGATGTCACCGTTGTCCTTTCGAGGAACTTTAGTATGAGCGAAGAACGGTTAAACGACTACAGTGAAATCATCACGAGTATCATATCGACCAGAGTTAACCAAATTGACAATATTCTGGTGATATTGTTAAATCCATTCATCAATATGATTATAAAATTGTTCAAATCAAAGGAATGATTTTGTTTAGTTTTTGATCAGGTTTTATTCATCTGAAGAACATAATGATCGCAAGCAGATCTTGTAAATTGACATGAAAGAGTGTTCTATCACTTCAAGCTGCACTCAATTTTCAATGCCATCTATTGGTATTCAATCACTCAAGTATTGTTTCTACTTCTGAAATTTGACTTATTAATATGTTTTTATAGAGTACATAATCTATTGCATCATTAGAATATTCTGGTAACATCGTGAAGAGTAAAGAAAAGAAAGAAGAACTCCGCGTCACTACCGATATTCATTGTGGGTAAAAGCCAAGTTTTGTTCCGTTCTTTCGAATTCTTTCATCAATGTTCACATTAATCATCTTTTTAGTCGGCGATAAGTCACATTCTGTCGATGTATTATTCGTGTTAGTAGACGTCATGAGTAGGCGTATGAATTGCATCATACTGTTTTATTTTTGTATAATTCGAGAATAATCATATGGATGACTATAAAATGGATAATATTTCGATTATTCTCTTTATTTTATCTTTTCACTGTCTAACTTACACTTAATACTTCGCAGACTCACAGCTGATTATTTCATTGTTCTACAACAGCAAGACAAACATAATGGCTCAACCTTACAGTAGTATAATTACGGCACAACCATTCGAAGAGGTCGCTGTACCCGACAAGCCCGTTGAGGAATCGAGTGGAACCAGTGGACATCGAATTCGAAATGTCATATGGCACAAGCATGGGTCGGGTGCTTAATCTCGATTATCCTAGACTCTAGATGGAAGCATGGAAAGAAAATCTTTAGCATTTATACAAACCATCATCATGTGCATAACATGTATTTTGCATTTCGACAATAATCATAAAGATGATTTATGTGAATGGGCCAATTCAAGAACAAATATGTCTCTCAGATATTCATTAATGCTCATTTCTTATTATTTTTCTTATGTAAAAGTCCAGAAGATAATATTTATTGAATAAAAAGAAACAAAATGGAGATAAAACTTGTCTTTCCTACATCGAGATTGGGAGTGGGTCTTCTCTTCGCCTACACCCACATCCACATCCTATCTTTCATTACACGCCTATTTTTGCTTGAAGTCCCAAGAAATAGATACAAAAATACTAATTCGAAACGTGTTAATCCAAGGTCGATTTTATAATTTTTTCACGATTAAGAAGAAAACGACGAACACTCTTCTACAAATCACCTTCTAAAAGAAAAGTCATAAATTGATGCAAGTTTATGCATTGATTTGTCACTATTATTATTTCTGTTTACAGAAACATCTCAGGAGTAATTTGGCAACACTGGTATGCATAAATTCCTTTCTATAGGCCGTTGAGGATAGAACAAAAAGTAGAAAATCAACTATTCTTAGTAAGTAAGCGAGGCAATAGATAATAAACAGATTATGTCCTTGCCATTTCCTCTTCAGTTTGGTGAAGCAAAACTATATGAGACGATGGCTTCAGGTAGAGTACAAAGTAAGAAACGTGATTGAGTATATCGGAATACCAAATGGTATCAGATGATAAAGAGGACAAGATGTAAAGCGTCTATGGTCGAACTGTGGTTGAAGTTTCTATATTTCACTCTTCAATATGTCGAATATCATATTTTCATTTCATTAATCGATTTAGTAATTAACACATTTGAAGAAGCCTTCGTCCTTTTTTATAGGAGGGACATTAGCTTCAATATTGTCGCTCATTACCAATAAATAATTTACTTTTGAAATCCTTATTAACTTGAAAAAAATAACATCGTTAAATCCAGATTGTTGTTGTTCTTGTTTTTGATCGACTTCATTTTTCTTTTTTTTTTCTCTTCGCTTCAGTTTCGTTCCTCTATGTCTTCCTAAATCAATCCGTTGGCTTTTTTCTTCTTATTTTATTTTATTTTTCTCATTTTATTGAGAGAAAAGGAGCACAGCGAAAGAGAGTGATTCATTATTTCATTTTTTTTTCGTCAGGACTGAATTGCACAATCGCCTGAAAAGTTCTTTATGAATAATGTGTTGTAATACTATTTAAAGAGAAAAAAAATAATGACAAATGGTAACAAACATTTTTTCTTCTTTTTAAGGTTATTTAAAATCAAACAGAAAAATTAAGGATGGCAGATGCAAGACCTAAACGTGTACTTAACGAGATACAAAAATTACAGGCATTAGCAACCAATAATGATCCATCATCAGTGAAATTTCTTCTTGATAAATCACCTTTAGATGATCAATCAAGTGGATCTCAAGCAGCCACAGCTAGTTCAGCATCAACTATAATACTTGGAAGAATATTACCAAATTCGGATATTTTTAATCAAGCTGCTTTTCAAATAGAAATTAAATTAACATCAGAATATCCATTCAAAGCACCTGAAGTTCGATTTATTACACCTATTTATCATCCAAGTGTTGATAAAGACGGGAAAATATGTGTTGATATAATCAATGGGGATGGAAAGTATAAAGCAACAACACCATTAACTAGCATTATTAAAGATATTGTTGATCTTATTGATAATCCACAAATTGATCATTCTGTTAATGCTGGTAAATGTTTATTTTATTTTAAAAAAATGTATTTCTTTTTATTATTTTAAAGATATTGGTGCCGAATATGTATCGAATAGAGCCGAATTCAATCGTAAAGCATTAGAATCGGTTAAAAAAGATGGTTTACCAAGACAATAAACTATTTAGTGTTTTTTTATTCTCCTTAATAATTATCGTTTGCCTTTAATGCATGAATATGAATTTTATCTCTTTTTTCCTAAAACATATGCAAACAAGACGTGAATAATGTATTATTTTTAATAGAGAAATAAAAGATGAACAACAAATACATCATTTGTTGACATTTTTTTTTTGTTTGTCTACAGAAGAAGTAGTTTTTTTCTCAAGGTTATTCTATTGTTCATAGAGATTTTGTTATTGAAGTTATAAAGCTTTTAATGATTAATAGCTGAGATGTTTATTTCTACTTGTATTCAAAAGAATTGGGAATATTCGATGAATAATCAGGCTTCGCAACAATATTACTTTTCCTATTTTGTCCTGATATTTATGATCTATTTTTGTACTACCATCCCTGGATGATTATGAGACGCTCTGCGATTATAATTTGTTTATTTTCAAAATTTGTATAAAAATATTTGTAGTATTTTTCTACAAGAGTGTGGGTGTGTGGGTGTGGATCAGTTTTTAAATGTTTTAAAAGTTTCAGAAAACTTTAAGACTCATAGTTAGACACGATCAGTTACTTTCATGTTTTAAAATAGCAGTGGCAGAAAACTTACCTGACTATTGATTGCGGAAAAGTAATGATAATTCTTTTCCATTGTTAGTCATGGTGATCATCTAGTATTATTATCGATTAGATTACCACGTATCTTTATATCTCTTTTGCGATCGATTACCTGGTGATTAAAAACTTTTTCATTGCTAATATGTAGCAATGTAGCTCTCGAAATCTGTAGATCTTACTGTTTTTCTTGGAATAAAAAAAGTCAGTTCGATATGATGATAAATTGAACTACAGAATTCGAAATTCACCATGAAACGCACAATCATAAACTCAAAAGAAAGCACCTCATCTGAATATGAAAAGGCGGGGTTGTCCTCTATTTCAAGCGGTGACAAATCGCATTTTTGTGCTCAATTCTTTTCTTTCTTCACTAAATAAGAATTATATACTGTCGTGTAGATCCAGGTCGAGAAGTCACTATCTTGAGGGTGGGTCAGGATAAAGGTAAGTGAAGATGAAGGGAGAAGCTTTATTCTCATCAACTGATCCTTACCTACCCACGCTTGTCTATTTCCTTCATGTTTACCTAAAATAGGCTTCTTCTTGATCAAATGCTAAAACACATTCTTAATACACCCAAAAACGTGTGTTTTAGCTATTTCCTTCGTCTTTGGTTAATTATTTTCTTTTAGTTCATTCATTTGATCTACATATTTGCTTTCTCCACTAATATAATTGAAAAACAATGTGTTCCAACTTGCGATATGTGGAGTGTGGATAGATAGATGATAGGAACCCACATTCACACCCCGGCTACATGGGGTTTTATCGTTCTCTTCTTCGACGACTAATTCAATATCATCGAATGAAAATATTTTTTTTATTTGTTTCTTCCTTAGACAGCGTACACGATTAGAGGAAGGATTTGTCCCGTCGCTTAGTTTTGTTTAGTGCTCAGCCTTTCTCCGTGAAAATTTTTATTAGCCACTGTTTGGTTGCATTTTGGCATTCTTTATAGAGCAAATGTAAAAAATGTATGCAAGAGAGAAAGTTTTGTTTGAAGATTTCATGGAAAATCAACTGTTTCTAAAACGGAAAGTTTTCACTATGGTTTTTAAGGATTTTCTCTGTAGATTTGGGAGACTTTCTCCCTAATTTCGTTCCCCCGCTAGATAAAACCAAACAAAAGCTATGTCCTTAGAATCATTGTTATATCCTAGTAAGCAGTTGTCTCTCTGATACATTTAGTGATTTTAAAAAATCAAAAACTTCACTCAGTCTGGTTTGAGTGACAAGCCCCTGCGAGTTAGATTAGGCCGAAAAGAGTGATCTGTTGACACCGATGATCCAAAATTTGTATGCAACGATTTGCACGTCATTTTATAAATCTACACGATTTTTATCATGATTGATGATTGACTGTTGTCGAAGTCATCTTGAACGGATAAAAGAAAATCTCATTTTTTATTTCTTTCTATAAGATATTGATTAACATGGAGAAAATATTGCGGTACTGCCAGATTCAAGTACCGTTGTGTTGTTCTCAGCACAGAATGTTGCACTAGATACAGAGGAAATTAAATTGAAATTCATCTGAAGAACATTTTACTAACTTGGTCTGCCGATCACCATCAATAACAATCACATGTGTGAATGCCCATTTGTTCGAATAGAGCAGTGAGGAAATCAAATGACCTGTACGTTTGAACTCAATGTTGACACGTTGAATCATACCCAAATCAGTTTTAAGTGGAATATAACGAGTTTCAATACTGTTTTGCTTCAACAATGGCTCCTCACTAAATGACAAGGAGAGTTGCTTAAAGTATCGATCTAGACTCACGAATCAAAGAGAACACTTTGTGTAGCTTGACTACCGGTGAGTGTTAGACCAATTTGGGCTTTTGTTTGCGCAAAATTTGAACCAGATATCAACCTAATCTGATAATGATTAACTGCAGAAAACATATTTATTGTGTTTCTATTTGTTGAACATCGATATCACTTACTACAATACGGAACTTTGTTCGCCATTTGGGTATCGAGATAGAGTCGTCCAAGTGCTTTATTTGGAGATGCATGATAACCCATGAAATTTCCTTCGTTAGCATTCAGTATACATTCTCCTTTCCGAAAGATTTCGTCACTTTCGCATGAAAATCCTCGATAGATACACCGATCGAGAATCGAATTGGTGAATAGATGAACGGCAGCAAAGTGACTGCACAGTGTTGTGGCAAATAAACCTAGAATAATAATTTTGAATTATTGGAAGGTTTATATTTCTCATTTTCGCTGTCTCTGATTATATTCATTTATTTTTTTTCTGTATGGAGAACACATACGACGCTCAACTCGGTTGAATTTCTTCTAAGTTCATTAAACATTGTAGCTGTTATACTTACCTTGAATATTTATAGGACGGAGAATGTCAAGTGGACCCAAATTGAGAATGGTATGAATGAATTTGCCTGACGTTTTATCACACGAGGGCTGATTCACGCCTCCGTTCGGGTAAAAATCGACATGACCCACTTGTGTGAGAGTGCCTACATAAAGTGTCCTGAATTTATATACATGCAGGAAAAATCTTATACTAACCGAAGCCAAGAAGAAGCATGGACGACCCATCTGTATGAATAATGTCAACAAATTTTGCATCACTTGAATCAAGACGCACGATTGGATCGGTGTTTTCAAAAAAGGGACCGGCTGGATCAAGACCTGTAGAATTTCACAAATTCAAAAGAAATAAATAATGAAACAAGAAAAGAACGAACCTGTGATACGTCCAAGTCCACTGATACGGTGTCCAGCGTAACCTGCGACAGCAGCTCCCAAACTATGAGCGACGATATGAAAGTCAGCCGGATTAGCTCCGTGCGCTTTGATCATCTCATTCACTAGAAGAGCAATGTCTGCACCAACCACCTGAGCATTAGCTGTTGCCTTCGTATACGGAAAGTAATTCGCCCGACTCCAATCAGTTAGAATGACATTGCAGTCCTCCTTCAAAATATAACGAAATTAAGATGAACAAAGATGAAATCGTAAAAGAATATAACACATACAGCCTGGAGAAAGGCATCTTTCATTTCTGACCACCAGGTACTGTTGATGGAATCAAGAAATCCGTGTACCAAAATTTTTGTTGCTTTAGTATGATCCCATGTGTCAAGTGTTGTGTGACGACTGATCACTTGACCTTTGTCCGGAAATTGTCTAAAAATCATACTTTTTAAATTCTATCATCGAACCGAAGACTTTCTTATACCTTGTATAGAGCAAAAAGCGAGTGTCGATCACCTCAGGCTGATAAAATATATACTTTAAAAATATAATGTAACAGGATTAATCGCTTACCGGATCAGGTAAAAGAGTAAATGGTCGGTAAAGTGTCAAACCGAATGGAGGACCTGATGTGAAGCAACCATACTCATCATAGCATACATTCATCAAACCACGACCTATATTAATAGATACGTTTCTGAATATATACCTCTAGAGCTTTCTATTACCTTCAAGCAAATTTGTCGCCATCGTAGTACCATACAAAGCCAATATAACAACAACCAGTGACATTGATTGATGCATTGGTAATGATATCGAATAGAGAAAGTGAGACGAACATATGCGAGCAACAGCGTTTATATGGTATAATGTCCCTTCTTTATCTTCTGATTCTTTGTTTTTTTTGCACCTGTTCCCATTTCTCATAAGACTACAGCTCTTAATACCAGCATTGTAAAGCACAAGTATTTTGCGCTTAAAATGATACAAAATGCAACGACATGTTTTCTAATTCTATTCGTACCAAACAAATTCATATGATACTTTGTAGAAGCTTTTACCTGCCGTTTTCAAGATCGAGAAGACATAAACAATCTTTTTTTTAATGTATTATTGAGGGATGGGAGTGTGGATGTAGTGTTTGTGAGAGGATGACTCACGCCCACACCCAATGAATGATTTCATAGCATACTGATTGCACTAATAATAGTCAAGAAAAGTTATCCACCGATTTACAACTTAAAATCGACTTCAAGTAAAAGTTCCACATCTTAAAATTTCAAGCGCACTTTTGGTCTGCTACTCACTGACTATCAGAAACTCTTAACATCGAGCAGCTCTTGGATTATGTTCTAATTGCAAGACAAACAAAAAATATTTCTTTTAGTGTGAAAGATCACCCGCCTGCTTATCTCATTCAACTAAAGAAAACTTAGAACTTGATAAAAATCAATAGAAAATTATGCAATCTATTTCAAAATCGAACTTGATAGATGAATTAGCTTTCTTACAAGCAATATTAGCTGATAAATGAAGAAGTTCTTCAAGTGAGCATAACACTATTTCTTGACTTTTTCAATATAACGATGGAAAAATAAAGCAAGACTTTAAATAATGATCTCAAAAAGAAAACATTAAATTTATCACTTCTTGTGAGCAAATAGTTCATGGCGAAGCACGAATATTGTTCTATATCCTGCTTTATAAGATATCACATGAGTAGTGTTGAACAAGTTTTTCTTTTGTTTGTTAGTTTTGACATGTATACGACTTGTCGCGAACTAACACAAGCAATGTTACTGTTGAAAATCTCAAGACTCATATGAATTTCAGTCGCACTCGTTGTTGAACTGTATTAATAACTTGTTTCTCAAAAGAAGTAGTCTGTTCATTGATAGATAAAAGGGATTGACTTTTCATTAGTTGAATCTTGTATTGAAGCGACTTGTTTTCTCCTGGTTTTTCCTCGGTTCAGACAAGAATTTCTACTGGTTGGTTCGATTTAAAAAATTTTAGTCGATTCCAAATGTGAGTATGTTCTTCTTTACAGTTGTAATATATGCGATTTTACTTCACATCATTACTCACACCGACATTGACACCAACATCCACAACTGTCTAGAGAGCATCTGTTATGGAAGCAATGTTCGTGTTATGAAAATAGTTGTACTCTGATTGATGAATCTTTTCATAATAAAAAGTTTATTTAGTAAAATAACTCTATGTTTTAGGCTGATTTCGTTCGTTACCATTGGCTTCAAGAGATTATGATTCTAAATAAATGTTTAAGTAGTTGTCAGTAATTTTCATAATTCATTCAAAATGATATAATTGACTTCAACTAATTTTAATGGTACAGAGTCAGCTGTTTACATCGTACATCTTATGTTGAATTGAGAAACTATTTATTTCACACACAAATAAGAAACAACAACAGGAATCAAAGCTAATGTTATTAATAGAGAAGAAACTATTTGTTTATTTCCATCGTCAATCCGTCGTCCATTAGCATCTGTTAAACCATTATTGGCTACTATAGTTTTGATTTGTGAAAATGTTTCTTCGGTATTGCATAGATTGCGATTACATTCAATATTAAATGATGCATAAGATCCGCCATCATAAACATAAACTCTGGGCTCATTCATTTGCTTGCAACCACGTGACCTGAACTTATTTCCTCGTTGATCATAATTTAAACTGCATAGTTCATCAGATGAGCATACGATTATTTCATTTCTCATATTGTAACATTGAATTGAACCATTTCTTAAAGGATTCTTTATCAATGGGGCAATTTGAGCATAAATACTTCCTGCATCGTAGGTACGATCCACCATTTCATTGATTCTATTCTGTGCATATGCAAGAACACAATCAGTTTCTTTCGAACATGGATAATTAATTCTATAAGACAGATAGGGCCCTGATGCTATATAAAAAAAATCGTCCGACAAGGTAACAGTGTCAAATATTATATCATACGAATAATCGTGATAGTTAAATATCATCTGAATAGAGCAAACAGATTCTGATTTCCGTTGTTGACATTGTCCATCAGGAATATTAAATGTTTGATCAAAACGATAACTACCAAGAGAACAGTTAGTTATACATTGGAGACCATAACCAATGTCTATCGTTAGCAATAGAATTAGTAATAATGCAAACATTTTGTGTTGGTCTGAAAATGCAATAGAAAGTCTGTTTTTTTATATTCTTTATCAATAAACATGTAGGAAGGTTTCATGATAAACATAATTAATACGGTGCGAAGCACACCATTTATGTAGTGGCACGCGAGTTTTTTTTTTCTTTTTTTCTTTCTTGACGTACGCATCTAAACTTGTCAAAAACTCCGAAAATAGTCGTTGCAATGCGAGATCCCAGTATCGAGATCAAACCGATAATGTCTTTTGAGTTCATCTTCAAAGCACCTTCGGATTTCTCACAAATCGTTCCTAAAAATGACAAATTTTTGAGAACTTCGTGTTTTCTTTATTTTTTGAGATAATTAAAATGAAAACGAAGAGAAAAGTTAGACGCCATTGTCTTACTTTATATATCAAACAACTGTAATCACAGCTGTATCTAAATAATCTAATATTAGCTGACTCACGAAATTTGAGTTCATCTCGAAAGCTTGCTCGGTTTCCTCAGAAGTAGCTTCCGAAAATGATAAATTTGAAAGGACTTTCCTTCTTTTTCATTTTAAGATAACTAAAACGAAAACATAAACAAAAGTTAGGCGTCACTCTCTTTGTTCATATGTAAAACAGCTGTAAATGCAACTGATAATAGATAATGAATAATAGAGATAATTAAACTATCAATCGAAAGTGTTCTTCAGAAACATGTCGATACGCTTTGATAGAATTTCTGTAGTAATGAATTTTATTATGGCTACTTTTCAAATCAGCCTTGAGTTTGATCAGCTGATTGAGAGAAACGAAGATTTTTGATTTACAACGACTGAGAGAAATGTCTAAATTTGATATAACGTAAACAACTTGACCGAAAATAACACTTGACATTGATCCTAAAATCAATTATTCGTTTTTTCATAAATTTCGACATTTCGCATTCGAGAGAAAATCGAATACCATCTAGTTTTACTAAGCAAATCTTACTCTGCTGCAGTATGAATCAGACTGCAATGATACGCAACTGAGAAAATTTCAGCTCAAACACGTTATTTATTCTGTTTTTTTTTAAATGAATCATTAATTGATCGAATGATATTTAGATAAAAGTCTATTAACAATGGAAGTACCAAAAATTTAAGCAACTGTCAGGCTCTTATTTGTATAAAAACTGAGATGATCAGTTTTCATAGTTTTTTCAATCTATTTTTGTTGCTATTTTTACATACTGAATCAGATAGATTTTTTTCTCAATAGATTTAGATCAGATCATTCGTCGAACTGACATTAATCATTCTTTAGTTTTCTAATATTATAACTATGAAATCGATGCGTTAATGGCGTACATCTCTTCCACTTAACTAGTGTAGTAGTCATGTTAAATTTCTCTCTTGCAATTAGAGCACTTTTTAAATTTTCTTTTCATGATATGATATATTTATATTTTATTTAAAATTTATGTTGCTAGTTTTACTCGAAATTGAATGTCTTAGTTCTATTTATACTATAATTTCTGAAAGATATTTCATTCTCAATAATCAGTCTCGATTTGAATATTAATAACTATTGATCGATACCCCCCGACCGTTATTTAACAAATATTCAGTGCGTTTTGTGTTTTTTTTTATGCAAGGATACAAAAAGAGAAGGAATCACATTTAAAGGCAAAGTATAACCATCAGCCTTCATAGAACTTTTTCTTTTCTTTTTTACCTTTAAGCAACGTTAGTAAATAAGTTATTACTCTGTACATTCAGTTCGAACAAGGATGTTTGTAGATGACTGTAAATCGTTACATTCTAAAGTATTACATGGCTCCGTATTATGCCACAAAAAAGACCCCATACGGTGAAATACGAAGTCGATACTGATTTCATTTATTTCGTCATCGATACTTTCTTTACTTCACAAGACAAAGTGAAACATTCTTTGAAACAATAAATTCATCATAGAATCTGTGTGTGAATGTGAATGTTGGAGAAAGAGACGAATGAATATTAATGCATTATTGTATTTTATATTTTGTTAATGCCATAAGAGAGATATAAACATAACAATATGGCTTTTTGATCTTTTACAGTATTTTTTTCACATACATTTGATATGTTAAATAAAAGTCAACATTTTTATTACAGATACTTTAACGAATAATATCATAAATAATATGTTAAGCAGATTTATTTGATGGCCAAAAAACACTGGAAACTTTGTAATACTGGCATTCCACTCTGCCTCTTTTTCCTCTTCTCTCACGAAAAAGTAGCTTGTTGGCGAAAACATCCATGAATACATTGAATAATGTTACCATATCATACAGAAAGATCACATAACACAAACTCATGTGCCAATCAGTCGAGGTGTATAGCTAAGGAGGCTAAATTATATGACTTTAGTAATCAACTTCAGCGATGTTATATATCTCTAATTGGGACCCAATTTTTATAGCTCTCTAGTTGAGGCAAAATCACTCAATTATATTTCCAATGTGAACTCATCATTCTCTTACAATCTTGGCAAGTTGTTCTGTTTAAGATTGACATATAAAATGATAATATCGCGCTTATTTTTCTTGACCATTTTTCTCAGCTTCAGAGAAGCTTGTGATGTGAATCTAACAATAGATAGCTAACTCGTAGCGTAACGCATGCGTCAAAATGAGAAGAAGAAGTTTCCAGAGTGACAAGACCTATCCTAGAATTCTGTCAGATTCGATAGAATTTCTTCGACAAGATAGCTTCTGATAGTATGATGTCATAAGTTGAAGATTTCTGCGTATCAGATACTGATAAAAGATTTCATGTTGTATCCGACAATATCTGATCCTTCAAAATTACTGGGTTGATTACAGGTGCCATGATATTTTGCTAGATTACCTTACGCTATTAATTTACTGTCAAAACGAAGTAATCTCTCTCCTTCCGACTTTCTCCATATACAATAACATTTTCGACGACCGTATATCTCTAAATCGTATACGGAGAAATATAATCGTATACGAAGAAATACAAAGTAAAACGAAAGCCGTATACGAGCTTTGTTTGTCCATAAACGATCGTATTTGTGCGCATACGATCACGAAACTATACGATCGCAATACTGGGCGATGTGAAACGCCGTATTTCACCGATTACAAGCGCATTTGCTTGATATAGGTTAATATTGACAATAGTTTGATGATAATTGGAAGAGATCAGATATGATGGAATGCGATAGCAACAAATAGGGGGGCCTCACTGACCGAAAAGCAGGAGATCATACAATCCACCCAATACAAATAAGTCGTTTTCTACAGAACACAGGATGATGACTATATCTCACTGGGAAAAATCAAGCGTTTTCAATGGCATGGGGTCAAACGATTCCTCACAAATCGGCTGCATCATGAAAGAATTGCTGAAAATTGAAAAAAAAGCCTTTCTCACATGCACAGTTATCCGAAAGAAGGAATAAAAAGCAAAAAAAAACATTTAATGAATTCTGATCGTCTCTATTTCTGTCAGATGCTACGTAAGTAGAATAGACTATTTTTCTAGTGTTTTCCCATTTTCTAATGCATATATAAGCAATTACACAAAAATCTCTATGAACAATTGGAAGTTTCGTTTCTTTTTTATTCTTTCAAGTCATATTCAACCCATATTGATAACGTACGAGTTTTGTCGGATTTATACTACTATTGTGTCAGTGGATTTTAATTTTCTTCGGACGAAACTGTATGCCTCTTTTTCTCCTCTTTTTTTACAAAGTGTTGGTGAGATGCCAGCGTAATAGGATCTTAATTATTTCTAAAGTAGAAGTAGCAACTTGGACAGTAATATATTAAAAAATATAGTTAGATTTTCTTTCACAAACTATATTATCGATTAGAATCTCAGTTTAAGAATTTATCTTTACTGTAACATTGTTCTTAGGAGATTGCAGAACACAATAATGACTTCCAATAGGCGATGTCTGAGCTCGGAATACTTGACTTTGAAAGAGTGAACTCATTGAAAAAAAAACTGATATTTTTTGAAACATCTACGAAAGTGATTCTTTCTATTATCGGAATTTTCAAAAAATGCCATTGAGCAAAATGCTTATAACTTTTGAATGAAGATAGCTAGAGCCCTGCGGTTTTCACCATTCGAAGCGGGAGACAAGAGGACGCCTTTTTCTCCAATATTGTATAGGACGAAATCATTTAAAAATCAGTCATTTCTGCAAAACATCGGAAAAATGCATGAGAACGATCTATCATTCCGATGAAATTTTGGTTCTGACATCTGATCTAGATAGAGGAACTTCAGATGTATAGCTCAAGATATAATTCGAATGATTATCTTTCCACCTCCTAATGTTGAACAAATAAACTTGTCTATTCAATCGTACGAAAACTATAGAGTTCTTTTAATTTTTAAGCATATTTTCTTACTTTTCGTCAAAATTTCATCTGAATGGCAGATCATTTTTTTATACATTTTTTCGATGTTTTGTAGAAATGACTGATTTTTAAATGATTTCATCCTACACAATATTGAAGAAAAAGGCATCCCCTTCTCTCCCCATTCGAATGGTGAAAACCGTAGAGCTCTAACTATCTTCATTCAAAAGTTATAAGCATTTTGCCCGATGGCCTTATTTTAAAATTCTGATAATAGTTGCAAAACGAATCGTCAATCACTGTGGAGCGTACATGTGCAATCTGGTACCTTTCTCTGCAGGTATATTGTCTAATGATATGAGAAAAAATTATCATGCATGATTAATTTTACATTGCAAACGTTCTTTTTTATCACGAAATTTCATCATTGATCACTGTCTATGTGAAACATCTGTAAAGCTAAATGTAATTATAACACATGATTTTTTTCTGTATCAATACTAAATATCATCTCTTTTATGGTAAGGAAATCAATTATGGAAAAAATAATTTTTACTATAAGATCATATCGAATGATCTCATGTTCTAATGTTTGTCATAAAAAAAAAGGGAATTTCCAACATGAACCAATAGAGATCTTTGTCATACCTCTTTTACACGGCGAGCAACAGCAACAAGCCAGAGCAAGAAAACAAATACTCATCAGGCACATATGCACATATTAAATATGTAGAAAATAAAACAGAATACATCGAAAGAAAGAGGAAACAGAAATATGATGAATGAAAGAGAAAATAATAGAAGAGAGAGCATAGTTTGAGACATAACATGGAACTCATAATCACGGTCATGATAATCTTGTAGGTGTGGATGTAAATATTTCTCTTCATCCACACCTACATCCAAATACATGACAGAAAAGAAAAAAGAACATGAGAAATTATTCCTAATTACGATATATCGAATGGAAAGACAGAAGAACGATCTTTTTCTGCTTGTGTATAAATATAAATTATTAATTAGAGTTTAATGAGAATAATTATTGGAGTTTTCTGCATAGGTCTTATAAATGAAGTGTGGAGGCGGGTGTATTGGTGTTAGTTCTCTCTTCGAACACATCGTTATACTATTCGAATTTCATTTATTCGATTAAAACAAAATTATTTTTACGAAAACAATGATTTTCTATAAAACTTAACTAGAGATTGTCGGAGTAGAAGAATTTGAATCTTGAAGTAGGGTTTTTTTAATTTTCGAGTTCAAATTTTTCAATCAGTGGTGTTCGATTTCAAGACAATAGATGATTTTATACATGAAACTTAGTTGAATGTTGGAAAATAGGTTTCCGTTACTGAAAACTTCGAATCAAGTTTTATAAGTAGTCGTTTGTTTCGAAAAATAGCTTTACCTTCATCAAAAAAAATCTAATGGGAATAGTATGACACTCATCTCCAGTTATCACTTTAATTTCTATCTTATTTTCCATCTCTATGAACACAAGAGTGAAAAGTTATAGTCACACACTCATTCAAAGTGATCCTTTTCATTAGAGTTTTAGAAGAACGTTTACATTCTGGGAAATTTTTTCGCTTTGAAAAAAAAACATGGCCATATGTGTTTGAAGCTGAGGCAAAGAACTTCATGATAATGCAATTTCATTTTTTGGACGTTTGTTATTGGAAAAAATTATTACGAAAACACTAAGGTAATGCATTCAGCAACGTCCTTTTTAGACTAACTAAAAAAGCATAATTGTCAAAATTTTGACAACAAAAGACGATGGCTTACCGATGACAAATTGTAGTTCAACTTTCACCTCTGCTAAGCATTGACTTTCTTTTTTGATTTTGACAGGTTTTAGATGGTTTTGTCAACAATAATGTACCTAACTGCATACAATAGATTAATGATTTGTTTTCTTAACATTAAACTCAAGATTGTTTTCTATAACGTGAACTAAAAACTGAGAGTTTAATGATTATAATGCGGAAACTATCAAGTTTTTTGTTTTCAAATCTTTACAACCATCTGTGAAATCAATTCAATGACACTTTATTATCTCACTTCAAAGGATCATTCTGATATAATGTTTAGAAAACAAAAAATAGGAATAGTTCGAACAGAATTGATTCTAATAAAATATCATGTTCATTATTGTTGTTGTGCGAGAATATTTGACCGTTTTTTCAGTTCGACTTTATTCATGGAGACCCTCTCTGCATTGATCATATTGAACAAATTTCTATAATAGTTATGTACTTAATAAATTTATTTAAATTTCAACTGATTATAAGAAATTCACTTTGAATGAGTTCAACCAAGTTCTACATAAAGGGGTATAGGCAGAGGTGTAGGTGTGGATGTGGATGTTAGAGATCAGATGGGTCAAACTTTTTAGCCTAGACACCCGCCCCAAAATCCGAAAATATTTTTTTATTTATCCCTAGTCCCGATCCCGATTCGAATAAAAATTTTTCAGAGTCTCCGACCTCGGCGCCAAAAATCTTTTTTCAGCCCCGTTGTCGCTCAAATCCACACGGAGTCAAGACGGAGATCGGGGTAAGGGCGCCCTCGCTGATCTCTAATGGGCTTTAGAGATCAGCTGGGTCAAACATTTTAGCCCCGAAACCCGAAAATACTTTTTATTTCTTCCTGGTCCCGACTCCGACCTCGACTCCAAAAATATTTTTTCAGTTCCAATCCCACTCCAACCCCGCCGAGATCGGGACGGAGACCTGGATCAGATTATCTCCGCTGGCCTCTAGTGAGTGTAGGTGAATGTGGGTTAAGAGAAGACCGCCATTCATACCCACACCCACACCCTCAAGTTTTGAGATTTGGAAAGTTTGTTGAATGAAAATCCATCTTTTCCTTCTTAATGTTTCCTATTTATTCAAAAATAAAACATCCAACATTATACTGATACAATTAATAGAGCAAAAAAAAAAAAAAGAAAAGACTTAATCAGTGATAGTAAGAGTTTGATCGGTCTGTTGAACAAGAGAATCAATTGTATCTGTAATCCAATCGATATCCAATGTTTTATGTATAATAGCATGAATAGCAAATACAGGTCTTATAAGATTAGAAAAAAGTTTCACAGCTTGTTCATAATTGTATTTGTAGAGTAAATATCGCCATAGTAATTCAACATATGAATCTTGAATACGTAAAATCTCTTTGATATCCGATAAATTTTCTGGAGAGCTATTTGAATAAACTGTATAGCCAATTGTTGAGAATGGGAGAATGGCAAGAAATAGTTTCATCACGATCAAGTCAAAATCAAGTTGCTTTGACATACGTTTCATAACAGGTATTAAAGCTGGATGACTCAGTATTCCAATAGCATCGTAATAAGCGGAATAATTCATCAATCGAACTTGATAGACAATAAAATTCGCAGAAAGACCTGCCGCGTATCTTATTGTATTACGAAGTAAAATGGAACGATCATTCACAGATAATGAGAGAAAGTCTCGATTGTTTTTGTATAACAATGGACCTCCTTCTAACATCATTTGATATAAGTTGATTAATGATGCAGCTTTAAAGCGTAACTTAAGTGGTAGAGTATTTTGTTTACGTATGTAATGTTCACCTATTGATAATCCACTATATTCATCATAACAATGTGATAAATTTGAGATAAGATTCCATTGATCGATAGTTAATGTTGATTGATCTGATAGTAAAAGATTCACTGTTGGCAACTAAGCATCGAAACATAATATATTGATAGAAAATAAACGATTTATGAAAGTTCAAAAAATGATTCAATTTTCGTTTGATATACATTTAAAATAAAATGAAAGTGGAGATTTTTGTGGAAAGGAAAACTTCAAGTCATTTTTTTTTAGTTTTCGTACTCTCAATAGGTTTGAGAAGGATGTATTTAACAATTTTCAATCTGTGACAACTTTTTTTTTACGATTGAGATCTATCTATTCTGAAAATTCGAAATATTTTCATCAATCTATTTTCGATAAACTTGGAGAAAGATATCTTTTTAAACATTACATTTGAAAGAAACTGTCAGTTTTCTTTTCTTAGAAGATTGAAAAGAATTAATTGATGAAAATAATCAATCAATTTTCAAACCTCTATGGATACCTAACAGTGATCAAATATTTTTAAGTATGATAATAAAATAATCTCACTTGTTCAGGCTCATTGAATCTAACTAAAGTTCTTGATGTTGTTTCTACTAGATTTGTCATAACATTTCTTCCTCGATTTGTTTTATTCGGTTTTGGCCGAGAAGATCGAATCTTTTCAATTTTCATTCCACATTGCAAACATTTCATAAGTCGACAATAAGAACATACATGACGAGTATTTACATTTATTTCACAATCATTATCAAAACCACATTTCAGTATTTCCTGAAAAATCAAATGAAAATAATTAATAGAAAATGAATATTTTCAATAGACCATTCCTCGTTGAGCATTTCGTTTGAAAAACATTTTGCATGGATGACATGATATAACACCATAATACAAATATGTAGCTGGAACTCCACAAATTTTACATTCACTTGAAAATATACTTGACTGTCGCTTTTTACCAGTAGAATTATTTAAGAATGATTTTGCCATCAGGAAAACATATTTTTATTTGATTAAATCTAAAAAATAAATGAACTATATTATAATAACGATTTCAAATAGAAATTCTTAAGAAAAGATTCGAACTTTTAGAAGCTCGAGAAATGGTCGAATATTGTAAAAAATACAACTATTTTCTCCTAGACCTGTTTCAATTATGTTTTATGATAGTTATATACTTACTTTACGACTATAAGAAATAAACATCCAGTACGACAAAACACAAGATAGACGAGAACAGAAAAGAAAAAAGCAGAGTCTCTCTTTTTTTTCTTTCGTTTTGCAAAGAAGAATGCTAAAAATGTGCCGAGAAACTCACACGTCATCGTGGTTGGCGTAAAAAAAAAACATTTTCTTCTGCAGAAACACAAAAACCAACCATACGATCCTAGTGATCCTTTCTTTATATATAGAAGAAGACTTGTTTTTTTGTTCTCAATCTTATAGGTTCTCCGAATAAGTTAAGTTGACATTTAATAAGAATGTTGATATCATATGATGTATGATATTGATCTTCATCGGTCAAAAATCAAAAATTCTTGTGCATGAATATCGAATATATGGAACTTCCGTTGAATATTCATATCATTCATGCAAAAACTTCTTAGATAAAATGACAACAATAAAAAGATCAGTTGAATTGTTTGTTCTTATTTGAATTTATTCGGAAAGAATTTTGATGGTCAATATGAAATGAATATAAGCATTAGGATAGATTTAATGACAAAAAAAAAATGCAAGATCAATGAGATTATCAAAAAAATTCTCATGAATCGAATTATTGAAGAGAAGGTCATTTTAATTTAGTCTTTAAGAAAAATCTCGAAGCGTTGAAATGATCATTTTTCATATATAATCGTTCTTCAATTAAACTGATTTGATATAAAAGAAACCTCCATTTAAGGTCGCCCATTGTAACGATGATAAGTGAAATAGTGAACACTGTTTCTCATATGAGAAGGGGTATTACTTTTAATTTCAAAACTGTTTTAACAACAAAACTACTGTGCAATCAATACTTTCATAGTAAACAAAAGTTTACAACATCGAAACATCTTTTTTACTATTTATAGAGTTCTAAACAAAAAAAAAGAAAAGATAAGTTTAAGAATAAGAATAAATTATCAATAATATATTTTTATTCTCATGTTTATTTCTTCTCAAAACTAACCCTTCCGAGTCGATGGATCCCACCAGTAGGACTCGTCATATTTTAACAAGAAAAGGACTAGAAAAATACTTTTTTTTCCTTTTCCCTTAGGTAGAAAGTTATGTTTAATGTATCATCTGCTCTCTGCTATCGTTTGAATTATTTATTACATAGCACGATGTTTCTTGTTGAAACAACCAAGACAATAAAATTTTTCACAATCAGAACAGAAGGTTTGTATTTTCTTTGCTGTCGCGTTGCTTCTTCTCTTGATTGTTATTGTCTGGTTTTCTCGCAGCAGTTAGCACAGCATCTTTGAACATCGTGGTCCTACTCTTCCTTTTCTTCAAGCTTGTGATCAGGAAGTTTGTGCTTCGTTTGGCTTGTTGATTATTGCTTCAGATCAGGTTTCAGCTTCTCGAATGGCGCACCAAGCAGTAAAGATCGAAAAAGACTTTCACGAAACTAGCATGGTCATATGGCTTCTATCATAATTTTCCTTGCAAATTAAATAGGCATTAACACTGTACTGGCTGCTACAAGAAAATCAGACAATAATAATGAAGAGAAGCAAGTAATGCGACAGTAAATAAAATACAAGCCTTCTGTTTTGATTCTGACAAATTTTATTGTCTTGGTTATTTCAACGAGAAACATCATGCTATGTAATAAATAATTCAAACGATAGCAGAGAGAGCAGATGATACATTACACATAACCTTCTACCTAAGGAAAAAGAAAAAGAAAGTATTTTTCTAGTCATTTTCTTGTTAAAATATGACGGGTGCCACCAGTGGGATACATCGGCTTGAAAGGGTTTAAAAGAAAAATAATTGAGAATAAAAACCTAAATAGCAATCTATAGGTAGTTAAAAAAGTATTCGGACATACATATATTTTTTCGTCTGGTCCGATTTATCGAATAGAAACAAAAGCGATTTTTTTTACTAGACGATAGTCTTTAATCCATGCTATATTTGTTGGATACATTATTAGAACATCCGTTGAAAACGGCATACAACTATGTGATCTTAAAACTTCTTATTCTTCTGCTATCGGTGCCAAGTAAGCGATAGATTTATACATCAGAACAATAATTCTTTGCCGTCATGTATTCATTGATTTTGAAGAAAATTCAAATGAGCTTAGCAATTTATCAAAATAGAAAATATCTGAAATTTGCATATGTTCATTTTTTAGAAATTAGACTTTTTGTTCTTACTTGTTATGTATGTGTTCACCAGCAAGAAAATTACTTTCGAATATGCAGCAAATTTTTGAAAAAATACTTTGATAATCCTATACTTTATATAATATCTTAATTTAGTGGATCGTATAACTGGTAACGATAGCAATTGGACATTTCTACAATCATTTCAGTTTGTACAACATATTTCTACACATCTACTACTCATATTCGCCTATTTTACAAACAAAATCACTAAAGAAAAAACGTGTTTATACTTGATTACAAATGCCCTACTGGTCATCTAGTCGATATAAAAGATGGTTAGAAGACCGCGCTTCAGCAGCGCCTACTCAACCTTTACAACTAAAGAAAATACAGGGTGTCCCATAAATATCTAGACGATAAAAAAATTTAATATCTTCTGGAGGGTTCGACCTATAGGGCTGATCTTTTTATCGGCGATAGAGGAGTGTTCAAAGGTCTTATTCATAAAATAAATGTTAAAAAATAGCGCTGTGAGCTATTACTTTTAACCTAAATACAAAATTTTAGTCTTTAATATAAATGGTGTGGACGGTATTTTAAAAACATTTTTCATTCAAATTTGCCTTTCAATATAACCATTCGATAGAGAAAATTGTTCTCTTTCGATGTGTACAAGCCCGAGCTCATTAGCTTGTTCCAGTCAGGAGATAAAATCATATCTTTGAGAACCTCAAAATCGACTAAATGACCCCTAAAACGAGTCAAGATAGGGGTAATCTGCTACGCTGAGTCTAATGATGATGTTTTCTTTCAGTTTCGAAGCGATCTGAAGTGGGAACGTCGAAATTTTGAAAATATCAGCTCGAACAAGATAACGGTGTGATGTTGAAATTTCAAAAAAACTTGATTAGGTGACTTCAGACCGCTTCGAAACTGAAATGAAACATCACTATTAGACTCAGTGTGGCAGATTACCCCTATCTTGACTCGTTTTAGGGGTCATTTAATCGATTTTGAGGTTCTCAAAGAAATGGTTTTATCTCCTAACTGGAACAAGCTAATGAGCTTGGGTTTGTACAGATCGAACGAGAGCAATTTTCTCTATCGAATGAAAAATGTTTTGAAAATACCGTCCACACCATTTATATTAAAAGCTAAATGTTTATATTTAGTTTAAAGGTAATATCTCAAAGCGCTATTTTTTAACATTTATTTTATGAATAAAACCTTTGAACACTCCTCTATCGTCGATAAAAAAAATCAGCCCTGTAGGTCGAACCCCCTGGAAGATATTAAATTTTTTTATCGTATAGATACTTATGGAACACCCTGTAATACCTGCAAGACATGTGATGGTTAAAATTGACCATTTTCTTTCACGTTCAGGTGTATCCAATTCATAATCACCATCATTTTGTTGCACGGAAATCGACACGTCAAAATCCTCTGTTCAGTCTATTTCATTGTATTTCACATGGTTAATTTCTGTTTCTGTGATTTAGTTTCTTTCTGTTGTTTCTTATTTTTCTTATGGAATTAGTGTTGATTCGATTCATATTTTAACATGTTGATTTTGCTTTTATTCAACATTTGTATTCAGTCTACTTTCTTTAGCCCCAATGGCGTATATCAAAGACGATATTCGTCTCCATAAAAATAGCATCGCTTTATATAAATATTTTATATTGAAAAAACATTCGCTAATAAGCTAAAAACTATTTTATCATCATTTGTTAATAAATAGAATGTTCAGTTTACAGATAGAAGGTCTCGATAATAATTGTTAAAATATGTCCCAAAGTCTAGTCAATCCATTGGCTATGTTACTGATTACACTTTATCGTCATTGACTAAGATTAATTGAAGAAAATAACCTAGTATGAATGAAGAATTTGACAAAATATTGCACTACACGATTTCTAAAGACAAAGTGGTGCTAATTCGATCAGTTGTGAAATAAATAGAATCATTCTTAGACAAATCTCGATGCGACAATCACTGATTATTTTATTGGAGTACCTTCTGATAAAAGTAGAAATAAGAAAAAGATAATATTCTTGTGTCCTTTGAAATCATTTTAGTTTGTAATTATAGAATGAAGCGATAAAATATTCAGGAAGTTTCTCTTTTAGGAAGATGATATGTTAATTTGATTGGCATAAAAAAATTGAATATGATTTTCATTCTTTAATAATCGATGCGGTTTGATTTGTGTCGGACTAACCCGATCGGTAACCAATATGTCGGCTAGGAAAGTGGAGAATGTTCCATTTCGAACAAGAATACAGACTAGCGGAGCTAGTTTGCTACCTTTTCGAACATTGTTATAATTGAAATTTGTTTGACAAAGTTGTTGTTCGACTTCCGAATCGACCATGGTTTGAAGAAGTTGAAGATTTTTCTCATTAATTTTATATTCTTGCTTAGAATTTTGTTCTTCAATTAATTCCAAAAACAGAACATAATGAGGAGGAAATACATCCAATTTCGGATAACTGGTAAAATCATAGACATCTAGAGAAATTCCTTGTTCTTTCCATTGTTGAGATGTCCGTTGGAGAGCATCCATGAGATGCTGTTCGCTTGTTTTTTCTCCAAATGCATCCAACAAACTTCCAATGCGATATGCTATTGAAAAAAGTGGAATTCGAGGAATTTCTTCTTGATCGATGGGTAATGGGACTAAATCATCGGATCGACAAAGAAATCGTGTACAAGTGACCACATCTCCCATGCGATATCGGACGAGTCCAGCTTCAGTGGTGCAAACCAATTCATATCGATTTTCTGGTTCAACATCCGAAATAAGAAGTGTCTTTGGTTGAGCCTGATAGTAAAAGAGTAATTCAATAAAAATGTATAATCATAAACTGTGATCAATATATTTTCGAAATATTTTTTTTCTGACTAACGAGTTATTCAAGTCGTTTAGACTCCATCTTTTGACCATAAGTCAGGCCTCAATGAGGTATGAAAAACCTAAAGAGAATTCATCTCCTCGTGCCATTGCTCTTGAGATATCACATTTTTAAGAAATTTTCTTCATAGGATCCAAGATTTACAGCAAAATCATATTACCGAATTCTGATCTAAGACTTTGCCGGTATCAACCTTTTAAGCAGAATAGGTTGTATACAAATTTTTCGAATTTTTTAACGTGCCCTTTAAGAGATATGCATTTCTCAAAATATAGGCCTAATTTCACAGATATTGTAGAAAAGACGGATATTTTAGGGAATGCATGTCTCTTAAAGGCTATGTTAAAAAATTCTGAAACTTTGTGTTCAACCTACTCTGCTTAAAAGGTTGATATGATCAAAACCTCAGGTCAAAATTCAGTAATACGACTTTGCTGTAAATCTGGGATCTTATGAGGAAAATTTTTCAAAAATTCGATATCTTGGGAATAAAGGCACGAGGATATGAATCCTCTTTAGGTTTTTATACCTCATTGTGGTCTACTTATGGCCAAAAGATGGGACTTTAATGGTTTGAACACCTCGGTATGTTTCCTTGTAAGAAAAAGATTTTTGTTAGTTTGAACTAACTAATAAATAAGTGAAACAAAATGACCTATCAACATTAAAAACCTGCCTGATGAATGTCTTCTTCTTTGATAAATTCGTAGAATGCAATATGTGGTAGTAGGAAATATTCATCTGTACTAATACTTGCCAGACTGCCAAAAAATCCTTCACTCGAAGCGTAGAATCCTAAGTTAATTATAGGTAATTGTTTTCCACAATAAAATTCAATTTCTTTCCTATACATCGCAAAAGTGCTTCCTATGGCGGTCGATGCGTAAATTAGACTCGGCCATAGACGATGAAGAATACCAGGTACATCTTTTTTCATGCATTCTTTATGAATATGTTCTGCTCGGGCTATTTGATATGATAATCCTCCATATTCCAGAGCAACTTTTTTCA